AGGCTGGGACCTATTGAGAAAATGTGGGAATAAGGGAGCCTGGGCATTTTCTGGGGTTTGGCAAAGAAAAACAGGAATGCAACAAGTCTTGAGACATTGGACGCTTGCCACTCATCTCGCACGCTGAACCAATTCTGTTCACCGACTCATGTTACAACCACTTGGCCCAATGGGAAACTAATTACATATCCTAACTGTGCAGGCTGGCTCACTTAGAGCTGAACTTGTTAAAATCCACACTACACAAAATAGATCAGTTTATGAGGCTTCCAAAAACAACAACAACAACAAAAACCCCAATCCTGATTCAGGAATTAGAATCATGTTATTACTGAGACACAGATTACATTTTCTGGAAAAGCAAGAGAAAAAAAAAATATATGAAGAGTTTGATCTTTGGATTGTAGGCACTGTGTAGAATGGCTTTTAAAAAACTGTGGGTAAAATGTACATACTGTTCACCATTTTAACCATTTTAAAGTCTGATGTGTGGACTTTTGATTGTAATGCCTGCATCTCTCACCAGATGGTAAACACGGCCAGACACTCCAAACAACAAGGCCTATTTGGCAAACTAAATTTGTAAGCAATTTGCATCTCTGCTCTCTGGAATCACAATTGTTGTTTTCAGAGATCCCAAGAGGAATTAAAACTGTTTCTAATTTCCTGTTTTTGTTACAATTTGTCTAATGAATGCCATCAGCCCACATACACAGCCTCTTAATTCAGGTTGGAAAGTGGCAGCTGAACTCTAAAATCATTTCAGGTAAATGCAGATGGGGTAAATGAATAACTCAGTTACATGGCCTGTGAGGAAGATGGTCCAAAGGACTGATCAGTCCAGTTAGAGGTTCAAATCCATCGCTAGGGCTTGGGTAAGATGGCTGATGCTACTGGCTGCTCCTTCTAGATATCTGCTGAGCTCCAGGGCTGGATCTCCAACATCCGGGTTCCTTCAGGATAGTCTCTGCTCAGGTTGAAAAACCCAAGGGAGTTGCTATAGAAATCTCAGGAAATGATGCTCCTTTCTTCTTAAGCTTTGGAAAGGGCAGGAGGAAGAACAGGAGCCAAGCCTTCCACATTAGAGCTGCCATTCTGCAATATTTAGATGCTAAAACCTTTTGAGGAAAACCAGTGTCATCACTTTTCTTCATAATTGGTACCCATGTGATGACACACAGTGATTCCTTCATGACCCCCAGTTAGTTTTCCGTGGCAGCTCTAACAGAGTACCACAACCCTGGTGGCTTGACATAATAGAGACTTGATTCTCTGGAAGTCACGGATCCAAAATCGGTATCACTGGGCCTAACTAAATTAAGAGTTTATGAGGTCACATTCCTTCTAGAGCCCTCCAGGGGGAGAATCTGCTCCTTGCCTTGTCCAGTTACTGGTGGCTGCCCGCATTCTGGCTTGTGACTGCATTATTCCATCTTCAAATCCCTCTGCTGAGTCTTCACACACCTTCTCGGCTTATGTGTATACTTCTGTCTCGTAAGGTCATTTGTGGTGCATTTATGGCCCACCCTTATAATCCAGGATCATCTTCCCAGTCAAGATCCTTCACTTAATCATATCCACAAAGATGCTTTTCCAAAGAAGGCTGTATTCACAGGTTCCAGGGTTAGGACCTGCGATCTGTGGGGCTGTCAGCAGCCTACTGGCTGATCATACCCATTCAGCAGAGCAAGAATCCCAAGCCCAAGCAAAAGGAAATGACTTGCCCAAGGTGCAACATAAGATGCTCCTCTGCCACACACAGGTTGCCAGGGAAATAAAAGCTTCTGGACTGGTGGGGAAGGAACACTGTGGAGCCTGGGAATGGCACTGGGCAGACACAGGGAGAGGTGGCGGCAGGGAAGTGGGTGGCACTGTAGGCGTCACCAGGGTGAGGGGAGATCCCTGGGTCAGCCCAGGTGGGAAGGGCTGACATCCAGGTAGTGGCCCTGTTGAGATGTACCCTGCTCCCTGCTGCAAAGAACTGGTCCCGGCTCTGGGGACTGACTTAATGGGGATCTTATGCAAAAGGAGGATGAATTTCCCTGAGCTCAAATTGTGGCCTGGACAGAGGTATTGTCACCTAGTGGTGACCATGCTAAAAATAGATCACAGCCACAATTTCTAAGGGCCAACAATTTACTAAGAAATGATTAAAATTGAGGGATCTAGAACTGGGGTTGTGGCTCAGTGGTAGAGCGCTTGCCTAGCATGCGTGAGGCACTGGGTTGGTTACCAGGCATCACATAAAAATAAACAAATAAAATAAAGGTATTGTGTCCATCTACAACCCAAAAAAATCTTTAAAAAAATATTTAGGGCTGGGGTTGCAGCTCAGCATGTGTGAGGCACTGGGTTTGATCCTCAGCACCACGTAAAAATGAAATAAAGATATTGTGTCCACCTCCAACTAAAAAATAAATATTAAAAAAAAACTTTATAAAAATTGAATGATCTATGCCACAATTTATATCACTTGGAAGGCAATTTTGTGATATTACACAATATTTAATTGAATATTTTTAAAGTTTGGTCCACATATTAATTTTAATTACTGAACCAGTTGCTAAATTTTCTAAATTTTTTACTTATTTTTTTTTGTGTGTGTGTATGTGTGGTACTAGGGACTGAACTCTTACTTAAAAAAAAAAAATTGAATTATCACCCCTAAGTGACAGAGCTCTTAAGCAACTCCAAAAGTACATTTCATTTGCACTCCAAAGCACAAGATGTTCAGAAGAGGAAACACTTCCTGCCCATATTTCTACAAACAAGCTGATGTTGTGCTTGCCTCTGTCAGCTACAGGCAAGTGGCTAGATGTTCTGCCTTTGTGCTTTGCTGGGTGTCACTATTAGCCTTTGGAAAGAGACACACTGTGCTACAGCATATTTAGGACAGGCCCCTGGGAAGACAGAATGCTATGGGAAGGCCACAGAGCAACTGCAGGACCAAGAACCCTGGGCAGCAGCGCATGGGGGTGCACACCTGTAATCCCAGCAACTCGGGAGGCCAAGACAGGAGGATTGCAAGTTTGAGGCCAGTCTTAGCAATGTAGCAAGACCCTGTCTTAAAAACAAAATAGGAAGAGCTGGGATGTAGCCCAGTGGTAGTGCATCCCTGGGTTCAATCCCCAGTACCACAACATAATAATATGATAAAGTAAAACAGAATAAAAAGAACACTGTACAGGCAGAGACCATGTCTCTCATGTCTTCCATGTTGGGCAGCTTGGTGGCTAACCAGGCAGCTCTTCCTAACTTTGTGGTTATCACTGAGGTGACTCAATAGGGGAACTTCTTGGATCCTTTGGCCAAGAACCAAGAAGAGAGAAGCTTTGTATTTTGTTTTTAATGGACACGTAGTCATTATACACACTTCTGGAGTACAGTATGCCATTTCATTACATGAATACAATGTGTAATGAAAAGGTCACGGTGATTAGCACATCCATAATGTCAGGCATGTATCATTTTTTTGTGTTGGGGACATTCAAAATCCTCTCCACTGGCTACTTTGAAATACTTCATTGTCAACCACAGTTATCCTATTGTGCTATAGAACCTCAGAAGTTATTCCTCCTATTCAATTGCACCCTGTGCCCATTAACCATCCCTCCCAACCCGCTCCCCTACATGCTTCCTAGGCTCTCATAACACTAGTCTATACTCCTCTTCAAAATCAACCTTTTAATATCCACATATATGAAAACACACACACACACACACACACACACACTCCCTCTGGGGCATATTATAGAGAGGCACAGACAAAAAACAAAACAAACAAACAAACAAACAAACAAAAACCCTTTTAAAAACACATAATTTGTGTAAAACTGTCCAGGTCTAAACCTATCTGAGCTCCTCTCCTTCCTCTATCTCAGACGTTCTCTGGTCTCCTCCACAGAATGGCGCCAAGGTACTCTCCTAAGGTTGAGGGCAGCAGGAAAGGTTGGAATCTCAGAGGCGGATATACCTTTGTGAGGAATGGAAAAGGGCAGCTAGGAGACCTGGAAAGAGAGGACCACTGGAGAACCATCCAGTCCAGGAATGGTACAGAGTCTCCATCTGTGATGTCCAGTGCAGTTGACTGACAGGTAAGCAACTGTGATGGGAACTGTGCCTCTGAGCCCAGTCAGGAGTACGGACTAGATGCCTTGGGTTTCTGCAGCCAATTAGCACAAACTTGGTGGGCTAAAATGACAGAAATTTATTCTCTCACTGATCTAGAGACCAGAAGCCTGCAATCAAAGGTTGACAGGGCCACGTTCCCTCTAAAGTCTCTGGGGAGAAGTCTTCCCTGCCTCTTCCAGAGTCTGGTGGCTCCTAGTTTCCCTTGGTTCTAGTCGCATCGTTCCAGTCTCTACCTCTCTCTTCACAGGGCCTATTCCCTTTGTGTGTCTCTCTGTGTGAATCTTTCTTTTCTCTAAAGATTGCAGCCAGCCCTGAATCCAGGATGATTTCACCTTGAGATTCTTGATTAATCATATCCACAAAGACTCCCATTTCTACATAAGGTCATATGCTGAGGATTTGGATAGATATGCGTTTTGAGGGGACACTAATCAACCCTCTGCAAGTGCTGGGATGGCTGGGAAAGCTTGAGAAGGGTTCTGAACTGGCTAGGAATAGTTCTCACACCTTCTATCTGCCACTCAGATGTAGCCCAATGCCTTACATATGTCGGAACTGGGACTCGGGCAATTAAAGGGCTCGACCAGGACCATGTAACTAGGCAAGGTCACAGGACACAAAAATAAAGAAAGAACATTTTAAGATGCAGGAGGTGGGTGTGGGGGTAGAGGATGAGGATGGATTTACTGTTAGTTATAAATTAACTGAGAAGATCATCTTTGCATTTAAAACCATTATCCAGAGAGGATCTAGATGGGGCAAGAAAATAATCACTAGTCAATGAGAGAGAAAACTTGGAAGAATTAGTGCATCCTCGAGATCGTTTGCAGGGTTTTTTTTTTTTTTTTTTTCCTTTTTGGCCAAAGGAATGAGAGCTTCTCTCAATGGGCAAAAGCCTCTCCAGACTGGTCCCTGAAAACATCGTGCGTAGAAGCCTGCTGGTTGCCATGGTGAATGATGCTGATGTGAAGAAATGAATAATGTGAGCATCGGGGGCGACAGTGGGATTACTCAGTGGTGAGAGAGACATCAAGGAGAGCCCAGGGCGGAGGAGGGAGAAGGCACCATTCTCTGGGCTTTGGTCCATGCTGCCTCGGAGGGTAAAGCTCTAACCAGACACACTGCAAGCATCAGGTAAGAGATGTAGCTAGCTCGACTTGGAAATGGAGACAGCTTTTCCTTTCACTCTCTGTTTGGAGAGAGGCCAGGTGATGGTAAAGAACAGCTAAAAATAGGGGAGAATTTGGAAACAGAGCTGAGGAAGTAAAAGAAATAAGAGAGATGGATTTGGTCCTAAAGGCTGAAGATGCTGATAGCATCCTGACAGAAAGAGCTTAAAAATGTCTGCTGTAGGGAAGTCAGGCTGTAAAACCAGCCAGCGGCAGATAGGAGGCAAATGGAAGAAAAAGATTCATGCGTGACAAGAGCAGAGCGGGATTCCTGATCACTCCTGATGGAAGGGTTCTGCAGAGGCCATTGATATGTTTTACAGGGAATGAATTAAGCTGTATTCATTATGGCTGGAAGTGTGTTTGTAGCATGTGTAGGATGCTGGGGGTGTGGGGGGAGGATGAATGTGTATGAGGAAACCACAGAGGGAGTGCAGACCTTCACTCTCCTTCCAGACAACCGTCCCCAGGAGGATCTGAGCACACCTGTCTCATTCCTTTCTGGCCCTATTTAGGGGGAGGAAATTTCCAGCCAAAGGGAAAGGAACTATTCCCCTTCCTGAGTACTTTAGTTCACTGCCATCTTTAGAGAAGACAATCAAGAACTGAAAAATTACACTTTGTAATTTATCTTTCTGTAGCTCAACTCCCGTAGAAACCTGGGCACAAGCCATGAGGTTGGGGGGAGGCCGAGCAGAGAGAAGGGCTGGTTTGGCTCAATATCTGATTCGGGTTAAAATCTGATTGACTGATTTTTACTATGTCATTGCAGTCTGAAATGAAACCTGTGTTGTGTGGGAGAGGAGGGGCAGAGTGACATGTTTACCAGAGCATACAGAGGTTGACCACAGCTGACTCTATGTTTCACCAGGGGAAACTCAGTGGAGGGCAACTCTATCTTTCAGAATTAAAGAGAAACAAAAAGATGGCTTTCTCTTCCCCAAGAGGGAAGGCTGGAAGTCTAAAGAGAGCTCATTTGATTTGTTTGGTAAAACAGCAACTGAGATCCTTAATTTGCAAAAATGTTCTGTTACTAAATCCAGTAGCCTTGCATTTGGAAGTGAAGTGGTTAAGCAGCTTTGAGTTCTCTTTCTATTCATTAAAATGCTGAGTGACCTCAGGTTGTTCATCTGCAAAATGGAAATCTGCAAAGCAGCTCTCCAGGTGGGATGCAGAATAATGTTAAATATTATTGCATATGAAGTGTGTAACATGCCCTGGACAGAGCAATGGCCCACTTGCTGTGGGTGGTTATTACCATCACTGACAGGCATAATACCTGGAGCGCTGAACAGTAGCACCATGCTCTACAGAAGCTGATTATCTCAACCTATGAAACTAATTTCCTGGTACCTTTGGCCTTGAAAAAACAAAACCAAAGCACAAGATTTAAGGTGAAATCAGCTGCTGGCAGGTGATGAAGTGAATCTCCATTCATCATGGGCAATGTAACTGGGGGTCTAAAAAAGAATAGGTTCAATGTTCTAGATAACTGAGCTCAGAACACCTGGAGCAGAGGCAGGAGGTCAAGAAGAGAGATTTTAGATGAAATAATTGCTTGCGTGGAGGTCTCAGGCCTAGGACAATTAAGGTGGGACCCCTGAGGTTCTACTGATTCTATTTTTTTTTTATTTATTTTTTTTCAATGAGGTAGAAGTGATGTTGAACCTACAGGATTTGAGCCAGGGAGGGATGTGGCTGAGGTTGGATGGGTAACCAAGGATACCAGCTTTGACATGAGTTGCACTTTCCTTGTTCAGCTCCTTTGCTAGCCAAGCTAAGTAAGGTAACCTCTGGGCGTCCATTTGCTGGTCTGTAACATGGGGTCCATATCAGTGCCCATCTCACACGCTCAAGATGTGGTGGCTATGATGATGATGAATAATATTTAATGAGGGGGATGTCACTCTTCACTTTGATTTGGTTCCAGAATCGGGATGAACATCGAGGTTGGGAACGTTTCTTACACGGGCGCCATCATCTCCTGGTCGTCCTCGGAGCCCTGCCTGGAGGACTATTACCATATTATGTACAGACCCAACTGGAACAGCATCTTCTCCGGCTATCTCCGCTACAGCTTCCACCACGAGGAGAAGGTGCCTCGGACCATCAGCTCCGTGGTGCTGGAACATCTCGCCCCTTCCACTCTCTACTTCCTCTGCATCAGTTGTAAGAAGGCTGCCTTCCCCTACAGGCACTACTGCACCATGTTCCACACCTTGGATAAGAGTCCACTGGCTGCGGGCAGCTCCCTGGTGGATCCCCAAATCTCCCTTTGGGTGTTGATGGCCATCCTGCTGGCCTGCTTCACAGCTGTGTTGGCCTTCATCTGCCTCCAGTTCTGGTGCATCCGTTGCCATGAGCCTCGATGGTCTTACAGAGCTGGCCACATGGAGGAAGCCAATGGGCTAGTGAGATGGCCGGAGGAGGCCCCCGCCCTTGGTCAGAGGGAGGAAGACCTGCAGGGGCTCCCCCTGGTGGAACTGCCACGCAAGGACTCCGGAGCAGGAGCTGGAGCAGAACCGGAAGCCCAGCAGGATGGCCCTGATGAGGAAGCCAGGGAGGGAGGTGATCAACCCGCCATAGTGCCTCACTTCAGGGAGTGAGAGGCGGGGAGGAGATGGCCCTCATCATACAGCCTAATGCCCCCCGACAGTAGGTCTTTTGTAAAAATGTGCCTATAGACTCCCCATATCTCTTCCCTTAAATGTCAGTGCCATTGTAAGATCCCCTGGGTTGGGTGATGCCTGATGATGAAATCTCTCAATCCGGTACGTGCACTTCCTGGGTGTGCCAAAGGGCAAACACGGATCTCCTAAATGTGTCCATTTGAGGGCCCCAGTTAAGAATCGAGGCATTCTTTTAATATTCAATCAAAAGTGGACGTATTATAAAGTTAAAAAAAAATGCATGACTTAAATAAATACACAATACTTGAAGAATATGTGTGAGTTGCCAGTGAGCCCCTTGAGCTATGCTTTCATTCATTCTTTTGGAAAAAGGTGAGAGGTCTTTCTTTGGAGTGTTTTCCAGATTTAAGGCAGTCAGAGACCACTTTATACCCCATCCTCATTTTTTTTAAACCATCAACCTTCTTTATTATTATTACTAACAATATTTTTATTTAAATTGACTCGTTTTTTAAACTTAAACTCATTTAAGCCTTATATCACCCCATATATGAACAACCAGTACCCTCTGGCTATAAATAGAAGAGAGATGAGTATTAGTGTCAAGAAAACAAAATAATATTAAATTTGTCTTGGCCACACTTGTCTGACAATTACTCTGAGCTTAGACCTGCTCTCTTGTGTTTGATAAAAAGAAAGGGGGGTGGGACTCAGGCAGTGCTGAAGAGGTATTAAAGACATGAGCACTGACGTAAGTCCTTTGTCTTAATCTATCGCAATGTTTGAAAGTAAATTGAAAAAAGGACGCACTGGTTTTACTTTGAGTCAAGGTTAGTTAAAACCATGCCTGTGAACCACCTCAGATGGTATCTCTAACTTCCCTTGATTTGAGACAATCAGTTGGAGAGACTGTCTGCTCTGGAGAAGTCCACGGCTCTCTTCCAGCATCACCCTAAGACCTTCCAAGAGCCCACCACTAGAGCCGAGTGGTAGGAACTCATCTGTGTTCATCACACTTCCAAATCCAGAGCTCCCAACCTAGCAGAGGACTTTTTCTTACACAATTTTAGCCACATAGTTGGTTCTTCTTTTAGGTCCACTTCTATTTACTTTTGAAAATGCGGTCAAAGGTGGCTCTTTTTTAATTCCATCAGAAAGAAAAATGACACATTTCACACCCTGATAGTGTTCTTTGTTCTGCCCATATAAACCCCCGTGGTAGGAAACAAATCTATACATATTGTGGTACCAGTGAGGCTCTGGGAACACTGTTCCCGTGCCCCCACCTGGGGGGAGGGGTGGAAATGCAAGTCCAGGAGGGTAAAGGCTACGTCTGCTTCATCCCTAAGGAGGCTGCAGTGTGTAGAATCTAGTCCATATCTGGCCCAGGGTGGGTACATGAGAAGTGTCCGTTTAAGGAATGCAAAGAAGGACTGACAGCTTCATTTAGGAGGGTCACTGAGCATCAGGATGCACACACGGGAGCATCAGCAGCAATGAAATGAAAAAGACCTGTTTCTCAGCTCCAGCTTCAGCCATGTGCAATTCCCTTCAGAGCTTCACCCACCCAACCTCTTCCTGTCTGCAAATCCATTATAGCTATGGAGCACAAAATCCCAGAATCGCTGGACAATATCGCAACAAATCAACTGAGAAACAGAGGGGCTTGGAAGCCAGGATGAGAAGCCCCACAGCCCCACTTCCCAGCGCCCAGCACCCAGGTCTCTGTCCACCCCCATGCCTGCTAGTTGTTAACAAATAAAGATGAATATACTTGCAGTCGTTTCTGCCTGGACCTCACTGTGGCCTCTTGATTGCCACACCTTCTGGCTTCTCTGACTCTGGGAACACCTTTTCCTTTGCCTTTTCTCACTAACCTTCTCACAGGCAGCACAGGGCAGGACCACCTACCTTGGATCCATAGAGGTAGTAAGGCTGGACATTGGCAGGTTTGTCTCTCTGTGGTTCTTGGGTGAAAGGAATGGCAGTTCGGACAAAACTAGTAAAAGAAAAGACATGGGGAAGGGGTTAACGTGATCCTCATAATATCCATCAGGGGACACAAGATTGCAGGCCCACGCTCCCTGACCAGGTGAAGTTTCACATTGGCACAACTGCCCTATGTCCTAGGTGGTTGCTTACAAAAGTATTCATAACATTCTTCTTTCAACAATCCTTTCATTCAACAATTGTCATTTTTTTTCCTTTTTTTTTTTTTTTAAATCCTTTTCATCAATGGGAAAACTTGCAGCCCAGATTTCCCAGGCTCAATTCAGGACCTGTGGCTGCTCAGAGGACAGGAAGCAAGCAAGGGAGGGCTGGGCCTGAAAATGGCCTCTCTGTGGCTCCACCTCCACTTTGATTTCAAGAAGTGGATTCAGCAAACTCCACAAGGGGCCAGAAACAAATGTTTTCAGCTTTGCAAGTCACTTGGTCTCTTCACATGTACTCAACTCTGCTACTAAGCAGCATCAGCAGATGACAGCAAATGAAGGAGCATGACTGCTCCAAAATACCTCATGAATTTTAAATAATTTTCATGTGTCACCAAATATTACTATTCTTTGGATTTCCCTACCCGCCCGTGTCCCCTCCAAAAATATCAATACCACTCTCAGCTCGTAGGCTGTACAAAAACAATGAGCAATAGGTATGTTTGTGGCCTGAGTTGTCATTCGCTGCTCCCGACTCAAGTGCACTAAATGTCCTATGTCTTCATAGGACTGGAAGTCTGTCATGGTCTGTGTGTCCTTTCAGGTGCACTTGTGGATTCCTCCCATACACTCCATAAGAGTTCGTTCAACTCGTACTCATTTAATCCGGCCCTGAGCCAGGCCCTGGGACTACTGAGGGGACCTGCAGATGGGAGCATTTTTGAACATCCTTCTGTACTTATTCTGTAGGTTACTTTTGGCACAAGCTCTGGGGGGACAGGGATGAGGTCTTGTCTTTCCTCAGTGCCCGTGTGCTCTTTGCAGGGGGCAAGTTCCACTCTGTCACGCTTCTGTGTGCCCTGAAAGGCTATGCCTGCTTTGCACACGAGCGTTCAACACATGGGTGTCCTTACACATATTCAGTGTGTTAGTGGTTCTCCCCTTTCTCCGAGTCTTCCAGGGTTCCTAAGGGCATAATCCTGACTGGCCTCTGGAGCCCTGATGTCCCTGCTTCCTCCCGTGTCCTGCTTCATCTGTCACAGCACCATTCTCACTCCAGAGTGACATCCTCACTAATGTCATGTTTTTTGAGCAACCTTGCTTCGGTTCTCTGCCTCTGCTATTTGACTTGACTTATGGCTACTCCTCTTTTGTATCTAAGCTCAGCATTACTTCCTCAGAGGAGAGCACCCCCTTCAAGGTTTGCATCACTTCCTGGACTGGATCAGGTGGAGCTGTGACCTCTCAAGGCCCTGGGGGCTTTCCCACTTCCTGGACTGGATCAGGTACAGGTATGACCTCTTAAGGCCCGGGGGCTTTCCCCCCTTCTCCTTCCATCTGTCATATGATTGCCTGATACCGAGTCCTCCAGCCTGAGGGCTCAGAAGCAGGATAAGGTTTGGGTGCTCCCTGGCAACCTCACCTCCATCACAGCACCCAGCAGAGGCAGCACCAGATGCCTGTCACAGCAACATACTGACACACCGCTGGGCCCAGTGTGGAGGAGGCAGTGGGTGGCAACCCTGACTCCCCACCCAACCCAACCCACTTGGCACAGGGACTCCCTTACCGGTTTGTGGATCCATTGTAGCAGTAGTTGGGGAGGAAGTCAAAGTTCAGCTCCCAAAAGACATGCAGGGTGATGCGGCCGTAGGGAGCCGACACGTTGTGATTGGCCTCCCGGAACATGGCATCGAAGCTGTCCAGAGTCATGTGCTTGCAGAGCAGCCGGTGCGTGAGGCGGTTAACCTCCAGCAGCCACTCCAGCTCCTGCCAGAGAGAACCCGCGGCTGCTCAGGACTTGCACGTGACTCCACATACACGGTGTTATCTTATGGACTCCTTTCATTCAGGTGAGGGCCCCTCACACTACCTCAACCTCCTACAGGAGGCCTGGGACCCTCTGCAGTCGCATGAGATGAAGTTCCCTGCTTCTGAAAAGTGGAAGAAATTGCCAGACTATAGTGCGGGCAAGGAAGGGCAGTGGGCTGGGATCAGATGCATGCATGCCACCTGACTCAAGTGTGCCCACAGGGTCTGTGGCAAGCCAAAGAGAACCCAAGCCAAAGAGACAGACCACTGAGCATGTGTGAACCCTGCTTGTACCCATTTGCATAGGAAATATGTTTATTGCTCTCCAGTTTCTATATGTCCCACAGTGTCACAAGTAAAGTAAATTGGAACACTGTGACTGTGTATCACCAGAAGCTATTTCTCTGCCCTGCAGAAAGCAACATGAGCTACTCCCTGCTAGAGCTTATTATTAGGTTGAAGCATATGAAGTTTCTGTTTTGTTAACTCACATGCTATCAACTGTTGGCAATTTCATACGGTTCAACCTCATTAATATGTACCAATTTTATATGTGTGAACTCACTTCAAGCTCACTACAGTCCATGAGGTCAGTGTTGCTGCTGTCCGTATTTTAAGCACATAGGAATTGAGGCTTTGAGGAGGCTTCAAATCCAGGAAGACAGGCACCAAAGTATATTTGCTTAACCACTGTGTACCTCCCAGGAATTTTCCAAAAAGGTGGGGGCAGAGAGCCTCTTCCTTTCATGGTAAACTACTCAGTCACACAGGAGTAGGAAAGGCATCTGTAGCCCATGATGACAAGAGACCCGTGCACGGTAGGCCCTGGTCACTTGATATCCCACCTTCAGATAGAGAGTAGGATCAGGGTAGGTACCTGTGCATAGTGGGACTCTGCATTTTTTGGGAAATAAAAATACAGTGAAACCCTTTTGGCTTGCTTTGGTTTCTTATTGTCCTGTAACTTCTGTGTCATTGCTACCAAAACACAACCTCATGCAGAGAAGGAAAATAGCCACATTCTGTGTCTCTTGAGGCCACTCCCATATTGTCTTGGCTAAGCTGCCTTTTGAGATAGGTACAACTGTTCCTGTTTCATAGAGAGGGGGATTGAAGCTCAGACGGTTCAGAAACTTGCCCAAGGTCACAGGGAGTACATAACAGGGGCTGGGATGTGAATCTAGCTCTTCTGATTCCAAACCAGGAGTTCTTGGCCCCTGTGTCACAGACCCAGAATAAAGATGTTAGGGCCGTGAACAGGCTTTGACAGGCAAACGTGGCTGGAAGAACATCTACGAGGGCAGTTTCCCAGACCACAGTGGGTGGGATGGTCAGAGGGGCAGCTTAATGACAGGGATATGGAATGAAGTTAGTAACGGGAGGCAGGGAACCAGTTCCACTCTCATCAACTGCAAGTTCCCCTCATCCTTTGGGGGTTCCCTCGGCTACAGTGGAGGCCTCAGTCTGCGCTTCTAATCTTAAGTTCCCTGGTGGACATTTACCACCCTGGAAGTCAAACTGTGCCGTAAACTGAGGTTGGAGAACTGGCTGAAAGTGTGCAAAACATAAATGGGGTCAGAAAGGCTAAGAAAGGAAGACAAGGTGGGTAGGGAAGGAGCCCCAGGGTAGGATACCTGTGGCAGAGTGGACAGCCCCTGCCAGATAGAGGTGGCCCTGCTGCTCCTGATACTGCACCTGACGGCTGCCCCATCAGCGTGGGCTAGTGGTGACAGATCCTAAATTTTCCCGAAGGTACTCAAAATCTGGATTTCAATTCTGGGAAGGCAGCCAGAACAAGTTTCCAGTCACTGTGTACTCGGAAGTGAATGAAGGGCAGAAACACAGAGCCCGATTTCTGCTTCTGTCTCCTGGGGCTTCGCTGGCTCTCCTGTATCTTTGTTCCCCTTTGCTTAGGATGAGTAATGAATAAGTAAGTGGGTTACTGTTCATGAGTTTATTCCTGACATCACTGAGTCCACAGGTATACTGTGGTACTCTATTTTGGGGAAGGATCATTGAAGATGAGAAACCAGGGAAAAACTTCTGTCCTATCATCCTGCGATTTTAAGTTTCACGAGTGCACATTAGCACTTAAAGGGAGTCCCAAGGAATGAGTTTAGGACTGTGCTGATGTCGGGGGTGGCTAGAACTGTAGGGCCATTTCTTCCTCCATGTTATGTAATCAGAAGAGTGCAGGCATCTGCAGGCTCAAGGTGCAGGAAGGGCTGAGAAGGTCACAGGAACAGTTTAGTGCCCTCTGAGAGAATATGAACTTTTTATGGCAAAGCCAGTTTACTAAGGGGCAACCCAGGGAAGCAAAATGGGAAAATAAAACAGCCAAGTGGACAAGAACTTTAGATCAGTAATGGAAAGAGCTTTTGAGAAGGAATCAGGAGACCCAAGTGTTGGCCACACTCAAGTGTGGACCAGCTCCATGACCTTCAGCTCTGTGACCTTGGACAGCTGAGAACCGAGCACTCATATTCAGGTTCCACAAGGCCTGGGGGGATCACATGTGACTCAAGTGTGCCCATGGGGCCTGTTGGCAAGCTAAAGAGAATCCATTTAAGGGAAATATAGTTACTTCCAGGAAATTGCTGCTATCTGGGAGTGCCAGTCTGGTGGTGTTGCCAGAGCTGAAGTTGCACTTGACTTCTTCCAAATGTTCAACGTCACCTCCAAATTTCAATACAGCATGCAGCCTAAACAAAACACAGTCTGCACGCTGCCAATTTCAACTTCAGCCTCAGATCTCACTGAGATTCAGCTCTGCGAAAGGAGGGTGACTAAGTCCCA